TCTGAAGAGCAGGTGCGGAAGGAGGCAGGAAAGAGCAGAACCGGCTGGAGAAGGCAAGGCTGGGGCTGGGTCTTGTGAGATTTGGAGAGCTGCAAGGAGAGTGGCAGGGATTTAGGGGGCGAACACACAGGGCATATATGGGAAAATGCGAAGTAAGCAGAGCACAGCAACCTGTGAGATCAAGGGGCTTCATAAAGATGATTACGATGATGGCAGCAGCTACCATTCATGGGACCATTACCACAAGCCGCCAGCCACTGGGCAGAACTCTTCACAAACTCGATCATATTTAATGCTCAAAGCAACCTGATGCAGTTCATAATAGCTCTACTTATGGCCACTGCTCTCAGCTGTTTGTAGATCTGGACTCAAGGGTCCAGCAGTGGGAGTGAAGCTGGACACACAGGAGTCACCTGACTCGCTAGACTGTGTTTCTGGGGCAGAAGGAGAGAAATAGGAGTTGGGGTGTGACATGTTAGCCCTCTGCCTGCCACAAGCATGTGCTTATACTGACTAGATATGGAAGACTCTTCAGTGGCTTTTAGCAATTTTAAGGGAGGATTAATTTCTAAGACAGAGATACTTGACCACTTAGTCCTGTTTACTCTTTTCCCTTCCAAACAGGCCAGCAGTTACCTTGAAGGGAGAAAATGAAACAGGAGATAATTCCATAATTGCAGGGCCCAGGTGACTGAGAGAAAGCTGGAGGGTTTTGTCAGCTCTTTCTGTATCATGTTCTATGGAACACCAGACCAACCAGGTGGGATGTACCACCACAGGGTGGGTCTACAGCCACACAAGACTGGGAAAGTCCATATCCTATATCCCCACTGTTGGGGTTGCAAAGCATCTTTCCTAGATTGAAGGCTCTGTGAAGTTCTTCAGTGTAGAAACCAGCTTCTCTTGGTTTTACCTCCTCATTTCCCAAATGTAGTTGATTATGAGCCACATTTTTTGGACCACCCAATGACCAATGAAGCTGAGCACCATGGCAAATGCAGTGGGGTACCCCAGCCTCTGTGAATGCTAGCCTAGAAGTGTTCACGCACAAAGGGCAGCAGAGAGAGCTTTTATCTAATTCCACGTCCTGTGGCCTCATTGCAGGCTGTGTGGCTTGGCTGACCTGGGTACAACTCCCTAAGCCACGAAGCAGAAGCTAAATGAGCTATCAGAAAAAGGCCAGGGGTTAGAGTGTGATTGATCCAGCCCAGACTTTGTAGAGGACCCTGAGCCCAGAAAACGACTGCTGTGTGGTAAAGACAGTACATTAGAGCTCTGGGAAACATAAACTGCCCCAAACAGGGAGGTGTCCTCTAGTTGGATCCAGAAGTCCCTGCAGCTCCAGGGGAATTGTAAAGAAGAGTCACTCAGAAGTTACTGGTATTTGGGCAGCCACAGAAAGTGCACAGACTGGTGGTCTGACCTTCTGACAAGACGGGCTGGCCCAGAGCTTGTGGAGCACTGTGCTGGCCCCAGAGACAGGCCATTCTGAGGTCAAATTCCATCTCAATCACTTCCTCGCTATACAACCCAGGGAGAGTGACACAGCTTCCCTGAGCCAGTTTCCTCATTGGTAAAATGGAGATAATACAATACTTATCTCATGGGTTTGTTGGGTGAGGTTTCCCAAGGGTGGTTCCACCCTAGGGCCCCATTGGTTGGTTCCAAGGAGTGTCTTAATTACCACCCCAAATATTACCAAGGGTCCACACAGAGTAGCCTCCAGATCATCTGACCTAAAATTCAGCTCCTATGTTCCCCATAAGATTAATTCTCTCTCCGATGCTTCTGGATCGCACCTTGACTCCCAAGCTCAAAACTACTATTTTCTCCTCCCAACCTGATCCCTCCACACATATCCATCCAATTACCAAATCGTGTGATGGCTTTTTCAGTTGTGTATGCTTAGACAAGTCACTTAACCTCTCTGGGCCTCCATGTCATCACCTATGGCTTGAGGAGTAGGTGCTTAAGTCATGGCTTTCAAATTTCCTCTAAACCGTACAAGTCTCTCCATACAGCCCCTTATGATGAAATCCAAGATCTAAAACCATCCAGAGATTCTGGGTCTAGGGTAAGACCCAGAAATCTGTAGTTTTTACATCTTCCTACATGATCCTGATGGACAGCCAGCTTTAGGACCCATTGGTGAATTCTTAAACATGCAATGTTCTCAACCAATAGTCGTGAATAATATTGGAGCAAGACGCTAGCATTCAAGCACTAGCTCATGCCAACTTGAACCTGTTTTTCTTTTCAACTTAGGATACAGGTATGTAATCCCTTTACCTTCTGGGCCGCCTGATGTTATTTGAAATTATTCCCTTTATGATAAAGGCTGACTATACAATCTCAGGTCCAAAAGCTCAGACAGGGACCTTCCCCATGCAGATGTGGTACTCTTGTGGGTTCCTAGCTGCAGTCAAACTGCTGACCCACACTGAGGTCCAACCAGCCAGCTTTAGTATCTTCTTGGCGCTTTAGGAGGAGAAGAGTGTTAGTAATTAAAGAGATCCAGAAGGAGATGAGTCACAAAGGAATGGGAAGAGAGGATGAGGGGAGTGATGCCTGGCTACCATGGAAGGGCAGCAGAAAGGGTGGTGGTAGGCCAGCAGAGGTGTTAATTCTCCATATTGCCAGGAACTTCCTAAACGGTTGGTAACTGCTGGTCTTCCTCATGGACACAACAGTATTTATCCCCCACCAGAAAGCATACAGTGTGAAGTTTAATTACTGACCTACCAGGGGCTGCGATTCTCAGAGAAAGAACACTCAATGAATTTGAATTGTTCTTACACTTGAGGTCATTATTTTTTTTTAAAGATTTATTTATTTATTTATTTGAGAGAGCGAGAATGAGAGAGAGAGAGTACATGAGAGAGGGGAGGGTTAGAGGGAGAAGCAGGCTCCTTGCTGATGTGGTACTCTTGCTGAGCAGGGAGCCCGATGCGGGACTCGATCCCGGGACTCGAGGATCATGACCTGAACCGAAGGCAGTCGCTTAACCAACTGAGCCACCCAGGCGCCCCTACACTTGAGGTCATTATTATCTTTGGGTTATGATAGAACCAATGTCAGTATTTTTAAAAACTTCCAGGTGGAGTTTCTGAAAAAAAAAGTTAAAGATTTAGACTGGCATCCAAAAATATCTGGAGAATTCACAGACATAAAGGGGATCCAATATGATTTTGGCTAGATACTAAGAGCTTAATGATGTTTATAGCAAGTTCCAGAATTATCCTCTGTTTCTAAATCTATGCCACGGGACAGTGACATTTTGGCTTGGGTGACATTTTATACACAAAGAGAGGTTAGCAAGAAGTTTGGCTCCACACCTAACTTCATACTGTAAAATTCAAAGCTTAGTAAATGAAACACCCCACTGACGGACACACTCCCTTTTGTTTACTAATAGTCTCTGAGAAATGAATACGTTTTCCTTAAAAATACTTCCTAATAACTTCCTCCCTATTTTAAAATAAAGATATAAAGATAACTGGAAGGCTCTCTGGTGAGACTTAATGTTCAAACACCCATTGCCATTTGTTTCAATCAAAAATATATGTGAAAACAAATACTGCCAATGTATCAATTGTCAGTCTGTCATAGCAATACTGCTTGAAGTGTGATCAATGACCGATAATACGAACATCACCTTGGAGTTTATTAGAAATGCAGATTCACAGCTTGCCCCGAGACCTACAGAATCTATGGAACTGGGGCCCAAAGATCTCTGCACAAGTTGTCTTGGAAATTCTGATACATACGAAACTTTAAAAAGAACCTGCCTCATTGGGGGTTTTTTTGTTTTTTTGTTTTTTGTTTGTTTGTTTGTTTTTAAAGATTTTGTCTATTTATTTGACAGAGAGATAGAAAGAGAGCACAAGTAGGCAGAGCTGCAGGCAGAGAGAGAAGGAGAAGCAGGCTCTCCGCTGAGCAGGGAGCCCGATGCGGGGCTCGATCCCAGGACCCCGGAATCATGACCTGAGCCGAAGGCAGCCGCTTAACCAACTAAGCCACCCAGGCGCCCCAAGAACTGCCTTATTGTTGGTCAACATTTTGCAACATATATGTGTATCTAATCATCACATCGTACCACTTAAGACGATACAATGCGATGCAATGTTATTTGTTAAATGTATCTTAGTAAAGCCGGGGATAAAAAAAACTGCTATAGAATTTGATGGGAAAACAATCAAGGCAAAGAAAAGATGTAAATGGAGTACATGTGGCAAAATCTTGATAATGGTTGAATCTGGGTAATGGATATGTGGAGTTCCTTGTACTCTCCTTTCTACTTTGGTTTGTTTTAAACTTTTCACAATAATAAAAATATGAACAATCATTCATCTTTTCCTTAAAAGCAACAAAAGAAATCTCTGCACAAGTATTTATTAAGTGTCTGAAATATGCTTAACGTTGTCCTGGGGGCCCATGACTGAGGCAGAACAGCCTAGCTAAGTACACCCCAATCTGCTTTAAAAATGGAGGTTTGTATGTATCCTTACCTACCATGGACATTAACAAAAGGCCCATTTTTACCCATGATCTAGACTGGTTATTTTTAAGCAGTCTTTTTCCTTTTAAACCATGAGATCTTTCATTCAGCAAACTCCTAGGAAGAAATCCAATATGTCAAATAGAATGGAGCTTCTGTGGGGGAGGGGTGTGTGTGTGGGCACATACCTGCATATGCATGTGTGTACGTGTGTGTATGAATTCACATGCCTACTGGGAGTTGCAGCTCAGGGGTGAGCCCTGCCTGCTACCTCCCCCTCCCATTAGGCTTCCGAGGAGGCACTGAGAGACCCTAGGTTTCCAGACGATTGACTGAGATGCCCAAACTGGCCATGTGTAAGACAATTCTTGTTTCCCATCTGAGCAAGGAAACGTGGGCTGCCCATGGTCTGAGTATCTGGTCCTGGATGTTTGGCCTTGTTAAAGAAATGAATGAGTCTGGCTGAGCACATCATAACCTCCACGACTCCCTTTGCCAACAGATATTGATTTTGCCACCCGCAAGATCGCAATCCATCTGACTCAGACAAAGATTATTAATCAAGATGGCGATAACTTCAAGACAAAAACCAACAGCACGTTCCGCAACTATGAGCTGGATTTCACTGTTGGAGTGGAGTTTGAGGAGTACACGAAGGGCCTGGATAACCGGACTGTTAAGGTGAGGACCTGGCCTGGCATTTCTACTCATATACTCTGTGCGCAGAAGCCGGCCATCTGGCTTCACAATGAAAATATGACAAACAACCAGGGAGGGATCAGGAGAGGGGACCAGAGTGACTTGATGCTAACAATAAGCAAGTATCGGAAGCTCAGCAGGGAGAAGCAAGCTGGCTTCTACACTGAGCTTATAAGTGAAGGAGAGATAGAGGACTGCCAACCTGTCCAGGACCTGGGGTAGGAGGCCAGCTCCTATGCCAATGTGGGCCTGATGGGCAAGGGCAATATCGTAGGGAGTGACAGTGATTTTGCAAGCTGGGTAGCACAGCTCTTCATCCCAGGGCAGCCCTACTCAGCACCAGCCAAGCATTGCCGTGGAGCACAGGGGCCTCATATGGCTAGGTTGCTTTTTTTCTTTTCAAGAGATGTTGAGAATTCATACGTTTTTATATGAAATACCTCAATTTTGGATTTTTTAAAGAGAAATGCAGTGCTGATCAGAAAAAGTCAGTAGACTAAAGAAGTCAAGGTTTACCCAGTGCTAGTTACTTAGAGAAATCTCTAGCATGTTGATGGTTTCTGTCCCAGCATCACCTCAAACTCACAGGACATAATCAAGGAAATCTCCATCCACCGGAAGTCCAGACTTCTGGCCTGCTTAGATATAGGTAGGACCCTGAAAGTGAGCAGACAACTCTGAGTGCACAAGTGGGGAGTTATCTCGAGGCCCGAGAACTGGACTCTGCAAGAGAAGCGGGCCCTCACCCAGAGGAGCTGTTTGTAAATAAGGCAGAGAATGACAGCAGCAGGGAGAAGTGGGGTTGGGGGCAGGGGGCAGGGGGCAGGGGGAGACAGGGTAACAGCAGGCCCCCCTCACCTTTTGCGTCACCATGTGGTATCACAGCCCAGTGTCTAGTTGCTGCAGTGCTCACACTCACACTCAGTGCACCTGTCTTTGGTTATCCAAATCCAATTATACCTGGTCAGTCCCCGCAAACAGGAACAGGGGTAAATGCAATCTCAGTCATATTTAAGGATTCATCCATTCCAATCTTTTTTTTAAGATTTTATTTATTTATTTGAGAGTGCATGTGAGTGAGAGAGAGAGAGAGAGCACCAGCACGAATGGGAGGAGGGGCAGAGAGAGAGGGAGAAGCAGACTCCCCACTGAGTAGGAGCCCAACACAGGGCTGGATCCCAGGACCCCAGGATCATGACCTGAGCCAAAGGCAGATGCTTAACTGAGTGAGCCACCCAGGCATCCACCCCCACCCACCCAGTTCCAATCTTAGCATCATGCAAGAACCGCATGGATTATACAGCCCAGGAAACTTGGAAGGACTTCCAGTTTGTCATTTACCATGGTTGCCACTGACCACTCACTGTCCAGGTCCATGCAGTTTATACAAGGGTGGGCAGCTTGCATATTTATAGTACCCGCTCCCTCCATGCCAATGCAGCCACCAGGACCTCTGCCTTGGCTCCCAAAGTGAGTATCTCATCCGCAGGTATCTGTGCCCTCACCCCAGCAGTGGGCCAGCCCATCAGAGTGCCACAAGGAAGCTGAATCCTCCACCCCGCCTTTCCCCTTTCACCATGAGCCCCACTCTCTCCAGAGTCCCACTCTTCTCTGGTGCTTCCAGGAGCTCTTTCAAAGTCAGAGGTCTCAACTCTCCCCCAAAGCAAGGGACATGAGCTCTGGCTGCTCTCCTGGGGTGGGGAGAAAAAGCTGTCGTCATTCTTTGGCGATGACTCTAAAGCCAAGAGAGCAAGACACATTTTATTTCTCCATCAAATTGTCCTGCAACATTGATAATCTCAGCCATCAAGGCAAGGTTGAATTATATTTAGTGCTCCTTGCTAAAGAAAAGTGGGAAATGAAAAGCACTTTGGAAATGCTTCCATCAGAGCAGTCTTGGCATAAGGGCCGAAGCTTCCAGGCTCTGGAACAGCCCCTTGTAGAATCCCCTCCCTGAGGGGTTGATGAATCGACAAGGCTTCTCTGAACTGTGTGGCTGGAAGGCCAATTCCTCAGACACCAGAACGGATGGGAAATTTGTCACTGAATTTTTGCATCACTCTGCTGTTCTAGCCTAATCTGTTCACAATGATTCATTTTCCTCTCCTTTCCATTCTGGATGTGGGCTGTGGAAAAGCACTCCTGTACTCTCTGACTTCTTCTTTCATCACCTTTAATAGTAAAGAACTCACTCTTCCTAAGATAAGTTACATCCTTCCAACCCTGACCATTAGAGTATTCTGCTTCTCAACACCTACTGTTGTGCCTCTTCGCCTTTCCCCGGGGTCAGCTCATGGTGCTGCAGAGAGAAAGAGAATCCCACTTCCCACTTCTTATCTCTGCTTTGCCCACAACAAAAAGTTGGGGCTTATACACACACACACACACACGAGACTGGTGGGGCCTGAGAAGTCCCCAGGACAGAATTTGCCCAGTCTCCAGCAAAAGGCTGTTCCCATGAGCATCACAACCCAGACCAGATGCCCTCGGGACTACCTACTTGCTGTAGTCCGACTGGAACCCTTCAGCTGGAAAGGGACCACAGGGAGCAAGTGAGTCTATCTCTCTGGTTAATTTCTGCGGCCCGCATGTGGTGGCATGCCTGAAGGTGCACAAAGCTGTGTGTCCGTGTGCATGTGCACACATGTTCATATGTGTGTGTGCACGTGGGCATAAATGTATCTGTGTCTGCACGTGTGCGCATGCGTCTGTGTGTGCGTATGTGCATGTGTTGCTATAGTATTCATGCTCTTATTCTCCAGGGCTCTACTTCTGAACATCTCTGTCACCCTCACGAACCCCTCTGAGCACCTCACCATTCGGCAGTCTAGGGGAGAGATGCGGGGTGGGGGGTGGGCTTGAGGCAGAGGCACAATAGGGCCCTACCTAGAGTGCCCAGATCTATGCCATCCCAGAGCAGGGGTGGTGACACCACTTTAACCGTGGGGTCGACACTTTGAGGGACCCAGGGACCCTCTTCTTCCTTCCTGCAGGTCATATATATTTTTCACTTACTACTCTGATTTGTTTCTAAGAGGATTTAAAGCCCTTTTCAAAATTACACAAGCTACCCAGAATAAAATTAAAAAGAAATAACTGATCCTCATGTAATGGAATAGCATGCAGGCGTAGAAAGGAATGGAACACTGATACATCCCTGCATGACCTTGGGAGACATCCTGCTAAGTGAGAGCAGTCAGACACAAAGGCCACATATTGTATGACTTACATGAAATGCCCAGAATAGGCAAATCCCAAGGGGCACCTGGGTGGCTCAATGGGTTAAGTGTCTGCCTTCGGCTCAGGTCATGATCCTGGAGTCTTGGAATCGAGGCCAACTTTGGGCTCCCTGCTCAGCGGAGAGCTCAGCGGAGAGCCTGCTTCTCCCTCTCTTCCCCACTCGTGCTCTCTCTCACTATCTCTGTCAGGGTTTCTTTGAGGGGCAATGAAAATGTTCTGGATGTGGACAGTGGTGACAGTTTTACAACCTTGTGAATATACTAAACATGACTGAATTGTATTTTAAAAAGGTAAATTTTATCGTATGGGAATTATATCTCCATTGAAAGCAATAAGTAATTGGGGCGGACAATCAGGGCAGGGGAAAGCAGACACAGACTACGGTGGTTAGAACAAGGAATGTCACGTGGTGTCCACAAGAGCCCAGGGGCAGCAGGCTTCTCCGGGAGGCCCGCACTTGGAATTGCGGGAGGGGAGGGTGGGCGCTGCCAAAATTGCTCTTGCACAAGGGCAGGTGTGCTGGGAAGGTTTAATCATGTTCTTGGTGCTCTTCAATGTGCTTAATTTAAAGAGCCGTTGTTTTCCTTTAAAAACAAAACAAAAAAAACCTCTTAGGGGACTGATTCAAATTTACAGAAAAGTTGCATGAAAATAGCAAAGACCATCCATATACTCTTTCCTGAGAACTACCTACTGTCAACGTTTTGCCCCATTTGTTTTATCTTTTGTACATGCTCTCTCACTATTATAAACATATTTTTTTCTGAACAATCTGATGTGTTACCTCTAAGGAATTCAGTGTTTCCTAAGAATTAGGATATTCTCTTACATAATCACAGTATCATTATCCACCTCTGTAAATTTAACACTGAGATAGTACCTTATCTAATTTCCCATACAGGGCTGTTTTTAATGATGTTAACTGTGGACACTGAGAGAGGGAAACTGCAGCGTGGGCCCAGCTTCCTTCTCTAATTCAGTGCAAGTGCATCTTCTTTATCCTTTGGCTCAGAAGCAATGGTTTCCCTCACTTGTCTCCATCCCCTCAACCTCAAGATCTTTTAAGGCAATTGAGCCTCTTACAGAACTTCCTCTGATGCAGGGATGAGGGACACCAACTGAAAGCAAATTGACTTGTGGAATTTTAGTTCATTTAACCATTCTCTCTTCTTACTGGCTGTTTTATGTGGGAGTAAGGCTATAACATTGTAGGTATTACCATAATTCATTGGTAACCAATTTACTTAGGGTCAGAATAACTTTTAATCTTGCTGCCTACTAAGATTTATTAAAAGAAAATATTAGGACAGGCCCTCGTGCACCAACATTTTTCTTTTTTGTTCCTTCTACGAATTTGCCAAACCCCTACTACATGAGAGGCCTGGGTCAGGAGCTATGGGTAAAGTAATGAATTAGAGCTCTTTCTGCCCTGAAAGATCTCACAGTCTCATGAGGACGCAGACAAGTAGATGGACAGTTACCATGCAGTGTCCATATTGATGGTCATGTGTGTACTCCAGGGGGACCATAGAAATCAAGGCAAGGAGGAGGGCTGGCTGTCATTGTCAAGAATCATCATCAATGGGGCGCCCGGGTGGCTCAGTTGGTTAAGCCACTGCCTTCGGCTCAGGTCATGATCCTGGAGTCCCGGGATCGAGTCCCGCATCGGGCTCCCTGCTCGGCGGGGAGTCTGCTTCTCCCTCTGACCCTCCCCCTTCTCATGCTCTCTCTATCTCATTCTCTCTCTCAAATAAATAAATAAAATCTTTAAAAAAAAAAAAGAATCATCATCAATGAAGAATATATACACTCATTTATTCTCCCACATGGATTTACCTCAAGATTCCATTTCAACAAAATAATTCAATCACAGAGTCATTCAACACTGCTCACCAAGCACCTTCTCTGCTGAGTCTGGTATTGCAGAAACAACGTGGCCTCTTCTTTCATGGAGCTTATTGTCTATTGGGGGAGATAGATACTAGTTCAGTCAACATGTATTAGGTGTCAATGATGTGTGAGGCAATGTGGGCTCGGGGAGAGGGGGTTACAAGACACAGTCCTTGCCCAAATAAGAAGACATGGGTCCTTTCTCATCCTTTTGGGAGGGAACTGAGTCCCATGACTGATGATGAGCAATGATAAATGAATATTCCTTTCTCATCTATTTGGGAGAGAATTCTGGAATATTCCAGACAACATCTCCCTCCCAGAAGAGCAAGGAGAGCAACCTGTGAATTAAGCTTCTTCAACACATTCAAAGATGTGAGGCTTCGGATGGCCCCAAAGAAGGAGGAGACGTATTTTCTTTAGAAAACATGTAGAATTCTATTGTTAAATTAATTTAGGGACTATTAATACATGCAGATGGTTTAAGAAAATTTAAACAGTAAAAATAAAATTTCCTTCCCATCCTGGCCCTCCACCTCTCGATTCTTCCTCAGGGACGATCACCATTAAGGGCTCTTTTAGTTCCTTGCAGAGAATATGGGCAAACATATGCATGCATACCCATCCCCCCCTCCTTGTTTTATGCACATGGCCATGCTCCTTGCATTTTTAACTTCACCATACACTATGGAGACTGCTCTCCTCCATAGGTATAGGACTGCCTCCTTCTTTTAAGGGCTGCATAGCATGGATGAACCACACATATTTAACCAGCCACCCACTGATGGAATTTATGAGGCTTCTAGTCCTTTGCCATAACAAACAACATTGTGATGTGTTGAGGAGTAAAATGAGGGATAAAATTGTACATAAAATATATAATATGGTCAAGGTCAAATATTATTTTAGAACTAGGTAGACTTAACAATCTGTAGAAAACAAATTTGTCCCCAAACATAGACCCGAATGTGCAAGGACAGTAAATAAAGAAACACAGGTCAGTTTGTCACCAACCAGGTTTACAAGATAGAGAGAAAAGCAAACGTCTGGTCCTTAGCATAATATTGTTCACAGAGGCATAATACAGTTTGCACATACTTGGAAGAAAACCAGCTGGCATCAGGGTCATCCCTGAAAAAGGACAGGACCTATGCAAAACCACTGTCTGGATGGGAGTGACATCATCCTTCGGGAGGTGCATGTGCAGTCCTCATCTGGGCTCAGAGGCGGGTGGCCCTGGAGAACCACCTAGGGATGGTACAAATGGTCCCGAGGCAGGTGCTAGAAGAAATAAAAGGAGAAAGAGAAGCCAGAGGAGTTGGGGGTGTGGGGATGTATAATCTGTAAGTGCGTGCCCAGGAGTTTGAGCCTCTTGGGGTTCAGTAGGTTTATGGCTTCTTCAACTTGCTGGTCAGCTCAGCCTGGCCGTCCAGCACGAGCTGTGCATCTCTGCTGCCGACCCCCCCGCCCCCGTGTGACTAGCCAGTCTGCACTGCTGTCCGGAGGAAGCCCAACACCAGAAGCAGGGCCACCCTCCTGCTTCTGGATGATGAGGATGGCCCTGGAGCCATCTGTTGTGGTCCCCTCCTAGTCAGGTAGCTTCTCTGCCTGTATTATTGCCCCACGATAGGCAGCCCTCACCATGCGGTTCCTGTAGGGAAAATTCCCAGAAGCAGAATTTCTAGGTCAAAGAGTATACACAATGTTATATTTCAAGAGGTAATATAAAACTGCCCTGCAAAAGGATTCAGACCAATTTATATATCCACCAGCCATTTACAGAGGGGCCTGCTTCTCCACACTTCCTCTAACTCAGTGTGTTATCAGACTCTTTGATCTTTGACTGTATGAAGAATTGTATCTGAAAAACAGCCTTAATTTGCATTTCTCCTATTATGAATAAGGTTGAATATCTTTTCTTAGGTTTAAAAGCCATCTGCTGGGTTTTAGGTTGTTTTTTTTTTTTTTTTTTTTCTTTTCCTTGTAAGCTGTTGGCTGTGTCCTTTTTAAAATTTCCTATTAGGGTAATGATCTTTCTCTTTTTGATTTATAGGAGCCCTTTATATATAAGGAAGTCAGGTCTTTGATATGTGTTGCAAGTATTTTTCCCAGTTTGTTCTTCATCTGTTGACATTGTGCTATTTTACCCTTCCAGAAATTTTACATCATTTATAGTCAAATGCATCATCTTTCCCCCCCTGATTTGTAATGCTATCTTCACCATATGATAAAATGAGAGAGTAGAATTCCTTTTTTTTTTTTTTTAAGATTTATTTATTTATTTGAGAGAGAGAGAGGGCATGAGCGAGGGCAGGGGCAGAGGGAGAGGAAGAAAGAGAATCTCAAGCAGTCTCCCCACTCAGTGCGGAGCCCAAAGCGGGGCTTGAGCTCACAACCCCCGAGATCATGACCTGAGCTGAAGTCAAGAGTCGGACGCCTAACCGACTGAGCCACCCTGGTGCCCCTAGAATTCTTTGAAAGAGAACAGAACCAGCCACAAAAAACCGGTTTGGCAGGAATGGAAGGCATATGTGGAAAGTGAGTCTGGCAGATCTTGGCTTGGCAGAGGCTGAGGGCTCTGTCCTGTAGGCAGGCAGGAACCTGGCAATGGCCGCAGGAACTGCAGCTGCGGGCTTCGGTTTGTTCCGTCCCAATCAAGGCCATACATTTGATTTCCCTGGGAACCTGTCATTGCAGACACTGGTCACCTGGGAAGGTGATGTCCTCGTGTGCGTGCAGAAGGGGGAGAAGCAGAACCGTGGTTGGAGGCAGTGGGTTGAAGGGGACAAGCTGCACCTGGTAAGTCCCGGGGTCGGCCCAGCTCCCTTCCACAGGGCTTACACAAACTGCAGGCTCACCTCACCAGGTGCTTTGACAAGAAAAATGGCCCTGCTCTCCTCCCCTGAGCTCCGGCCAAATGCGTGTGGTCATATAGTCAGAAAGCCATTCCCATCTGGCTCAGGGCACCCCAGGAAGAAATCTATATGACTGTTTCTGTGAAAAGCTGCAATTAAATGAGAGTTCAAAATGCTGAGTTAGGAAGCCGAGATCCCAGGAGAAATGCAGGGAACCTGTTAAAGACCAGCTGAAGAGAAAGGTAAGGCACAGAATGAAGATGCGCCAGGGAAGGGTGGGTCCAGGCCTTCTCACCATTATGTGAGTCGGGAAGAAGAGGGGTGGGAGTGGGATGGATAGGGGCAGGTGGGCGTGGGAACCACCTTACAGACCACAGGTGCTGGCATTAGAACAGAGCAGGAGGAACAATGGCTGATCTCCTGAAATGAATTATATGTGTCTAGATAGCTGAATTTTTCAGTCTTCAATCTTCAAGGCAATTTATGTGTCTGGCATTCATATAGTGAGAAATCTTTCACTCCTTCATGCATTCAGTCACTCATTTGTTAAATGGCTCTTCATTCAGTCAGTCAGTCCTTCACCTATGGAGTCAGGCAGGTATTGGCCCCAGTGTCAGTATTCGGGTCACCGTGGTGCCCTTCAGAGCTAGGCTGGCCTCACCTGAGATCTTTATTTTGGAGGCACTGTCAACTGGTGATAAATGGGAAGCATTCACCCTGTTTTCCATTGACGGTTCTCCCTACCTGCTCTGGTTTGGATGATGGATTTTTTTAATTGTAGTACAATCCCCAGTGGTCCCTGTGGCTAAGACAATGGATTCATTGTCAGCTGCAATGATTTTGTGGCCATCCCCACACTCATATTTTTCTCTCCTCCCTCGAGGAGTCATGAGGTGCAGATAAGGCAGATAAGGGGCTCCCTCTGTCTGGATGAAAAGCAGCATCTTGCCTGCATAGGCAGGCCGGGGGGGGGGGTGAGCCCTTCTGCAGCCCACGCCCTATTGCCCTGTCATTGCCTGGGATGCCACCAACCAACATTCCAATCACCAGGGGCCAGAAAGCCCACATCATGGAGTGACAGCCCACCAGCCTGCATATTCCCAGGCCCTTGCCTTCCAAACGCTTCTCCCCACTAGATCCTTTCCTTCTTCATGGCTTCACCGCCTTTTATAAATTAAGAGATGTTGCTTTAATCACGGGAGTAGGAAAAATCCCCCCCAAGAGGGTAATTTCTTTACATCTTTCATTTTTATAGTTGTTCAAGCTCAATCCAAGTGTCAAAATCAAATTACTGCTCCCTGCAGGGCATGCCAGCTGATTGGGTCTATGAGATGCACTTTGCCCAGAATTACTAAGTGTCCTCTGTATTGCAGCTTCCCCACCCCGACCCCAACTCACAGACGCCAAGAGGTGGGGCGGGGCGGTGGGGGGGGGCGGGCAGAGGAAGGCCTGGCCTGCGAGTCACTCACCCACTCTCCGACCTTGCAGGATCTGACCTGTGGTGACCAGGTGTGCCATCAAGTGTTCAAGAAGAAGTGATGGCCACAAGGGGCCCGCGAAGCCTGGGCTCCACACTCACCACCAGGGGTTCTCTGCGGCCTTTGGGAAGCAGCCGGTGGGGGGACCCTCCCACTCCTGACAGAGCCCATTAAGACATCTGTATGGATTTTAAATAGAATGAGTGTGTGACAGTTGACAGACCTATTCTTCCTTCTCTGAAACCTGGCATTAAATGAAAAAACAAGAATCACTCCCATACTTTGAAACCCTTTATATCTATCTCCCTTTATTTCTAGAACCGTCGGTTTTATCCACAGGCAAAAGTGGTGATTGCCTGCATGGTGGTTCTCTGGGAAGCCTTTGTTGTGGTGGTGGTTGTTTATTTTTTGGTTTAGTTTTGTTTGGTTTTTTGTTAATTTGCTTGTTTGGGGGATTACTTCATCTGGAAACATTCTCTGGCTAAGATAGCATCCCCTACTCATTGCCCTTTGAGATTCATTTCTTTGGATAATACATTCATTTCTCCAAGAGTCTATTTTAAGACACATACGGCTTCCCGTTTGTGCTTTGCCTTCAGCAGCACGGGGAAAGCCACTTGTAAAGGTCTCTGCAGGTCTGTAGGACCAGCTGCTCTCGGTCCAGGACAGCCCTCTGCCCTTCAGCCCTAGGCAGAGCGACACCCGTGCAGAGGACTCCCAAGCTCTGCCAGGAAGCCTGAGTTCCAATCTCGCTGCTCCACTTCTTAGCTGGGTAGCCACGGGCGCATAGTTTGACCTCTCTATCCTTGTTTTTCTCTTCTATGACACGGAAAGACAAAAATAGCAACTCCTCCATTGGGTCGCTATGAGGGGTAAGCAAGTCCGTGCATATGGAGTGCTTGGGGCCGGGCCTGACCCATGGCAGGAACAAGGTCCCTGCTGACTCTGGTCATTATGTAGAGTTACTCCCTCTACAGCCCAGGGGTCCAGATGAGCGGATGCTAAGTAGTGAGGGGTCGGTACCTCCAAGGCCTCCTGGTGCTTCCAGAACATTAGGTTTGTTACTCTGAAGAATTGTATTTTCCTACTGGATACACAAATGGAATAGTGCACCTGGAGGAGCAGAGTGGTCAACAGGGACAGACTTATGGTGGATCATTCATGGGGTCCTGGGAAGGCCCTGCAGGTCAAAGCCATTTCCTTCCCCCCCTCTGTAGCAGGGCCTAGAATCCCACCGCTAGGCAAGCAGTACCTTTGAAAAGCAGGTTTATCCCCAGAGAGGTAGGTAGCACATGGTATTCGCCCACTCCAGTGTGACTTGAATGAACCGATTATTCATTGATCCTGAGCATTCTAAATGGAATTGAGGGCAGAGAGTAAAGTGGTAATCTGGCCATGTGGACCAGGGCCAGCCTTGGCCTAAGCCCCTGTGACCAGGCAGCCATGCCTTCTGGCAAGCTGTTCTCCCCAACAGCTATGCCATGTTCTGGCAGCAGGAAAGCCAGGGAAGTGCTTGGATGGGGTCTCATGCTGGCTGGAGAGGTAGTGGGGAGGGGTCTCCCCATGGATGCTAGGGAGGAGGGGAGCCTCCCGAGGAGCTGCAGGCCCATCTCCTGGGGCAGACCAGGGACCAAGGGCAGGGACTGGTGAAGCAAGCTCTTCGTCCCCAGCTCCCCTGGAGCCTCTCCAGGAGCCTCGGGTTCCTCTTTTGATGCCCCCTCCTAGTCTTGCCCTAGCCCACCACTGCCTCAAATCACTCTCTCCTTTGTCCCTCAAGAACAAGATCCATCTGAAAGCCCACTGGGGACTAGCTGTAAAGCGTTCTGTCCATGGCACAGGTTCTAATTATTAGTAACTTGTGATCCTAGGTTTTGCAAAGTGTATTCTCGGGGGTGTTAGCCACCCCCCACCCCACGGTCAACTGAACTTTGGAAATGCTGCAAACTATAGCTCTGTCTTAGAAATTCACAGCGAGAAGTCCTGTTTTTAAAGCTCTGAAAAGTCCTGCAGCAAAGAAGCCAGACCTTAAACCCTGGGACCCCCTTACCCACAGCATTTCACTCCTGCACAGTGTTTTGGAAACACTGACTTGTTCCTTACATGTGCAGAGCACTTTTTCAATTACAGATAACAAAGAATATAATTTAAAACTCCCGTTTCCAAGTGGGATTTTCTCAATATATGTTTCCTCAAATGAAGAGTAACCGAATGGATTAGTTGACATGTGGTGCAAAAGACCCATAGTGGCTGTATTCATTCTACTGATTCTTCTTGTTCAACAAAGATGCACCTGCACTCAGAAGCAGTCCCATCTGAGGTCCTCATTTCAAAGCCAGGCAGATGTTCTGGGCCAGGGCCTGTCTTCCCGTCCCTCATGCTCTGTGGGGGAGATGGGGCAGGTCACCTCCTTCCTATTTCTGTTCCTCGGTCTATTTCAAGACTAAACCATGACAGGAATGCTTCCCCCAACATGCACAAGGCTGTTTGGGAACAGAGTGGAAGGGGTCGCCTTTGAAAACCCGTCTTACACTAAGGCGGGGCAGGGCTGCTGGGAAAGACTCTCAGAACCTCAGAATGCCAGCCTCCAGGGGTGTCCTGAGAAATGGGGGGGTGGGGCTGAGCTGTGAACCAGGGGGCCTGATCTTGCAAGTTAAAGAAAGCCTGCCCCGTGAAAAATCCCAGTTCACAAATGGGAAGCACCTTGGAGTCGCTCGAGCGTGGACTTAGTTCAAATCCTGCTCTGCTCCACCCCAGCCGTACCACTGTGCACCTCCATTTCCCCTTCCATAGGGTGAGGAATGAGGACTGGAACCTGCGTCACAAGTAGTGAGCTGGAGCCAGATGTTAGCACAGGGCCTAAAACGGCAGCCAGCACTCACTCTCCTCCCTAATTCCACTCATTTATACACGCGTGCATGACAAGAGAAGGATCCCTTCATTAAAATTCTTGCTTTCCGAAAGCTTGAACACCAACATCCCTTCCACGGTCCTCAAATTTGAAGATCACAAGAGGACGGATTAAAAACACAGGTTACCACCCCTCCCCCTTCAAGGTTCTGGCTCTGAGGTCATGGGCAGGGCCAAGGAATCTGTATTGTTACAAGGTCCCCAGGTGAGTCACCTGCAGGTGCTTGGCGGGCACAATGACAAGCCCTGCTTCTTTCAGCTAAAGCATGATCCATTTTAAATGTGTATCCACGCACGTACCCACACCTGCTCACTCTCATGCAAAGCCCGATCCGTCTCCACAGGTGGTCAAAGTGCAGGCGAACCACCTACACATATCTCTGCGAGGCTGTGCTGAGCCCTGTAAGAGAAGTGTCATGCTCGCTGGAGCAGCTTCATGGCACGGGAGGCATTTGGGCTAGAAGATGGTGGTAGGTAAAGCGGGAGGGAGGGCATAGCAGAGAAGTAACTGCCATGGGCAAAGGCGCTAGACAGAAAATGACACAGAGGGTCGGGGAAAGGTGAGAGGGTGGTGCCTGCTCGTAATGGAAGGGAGGAGGCCAGGGCCAGGAGGGTTGCTCGCTCAGACTACAGTTGGATGTGCGTGCCTTGCAGGGCCTCGGCGAAAGGATCATGGGAGCCGGTGCAGGCTTCTGAGCACAGAGTGATGTGACTTGAGACATGGGCCAGGAAAAATTCTCCAGCTATCGTTGGCAGGACAGATGGAGGTGGGGAGGATCAGGTTCACCTGCTCAGACGCTACTGTAATACGGAGTTCAGGGGAGAAGCGGTGAGGGACGCGTGTCAGGGCCAGGGAGCGGCCAGGCGGAGGAAGGGAAGAAGGTGAGAGGCGCTTCAATTTAGGCGCCCGCGCACTAGGCAAGGGTCGCATGAAGCTCACACAGGAGGTGAGGCAACAAAGATGGAAGTTTGGGGAAGTGAGGGAAGGATGATCCTCAGCACGGCTGGAGGGAAGGTTGTGCCTTTGGCTTAGGCCTGTTGCGTGTGAGGCGGCAGAGCAATGATCATTGCCAGTGATTGCCAAGGCCAGCGGGCCCTCTCCCCAGTTGCCCACTGCCACCCTGCAATGGCCCCATGTTATCCCCTTTGTGAACCTACCAGCACCCCCCCACCCCGTCACAGGGGCGGGGGGGGGCGGGGGGGAAGGAAGGCAGGGCTGGGGCTGGAGGAGAAGCCAGGCTGCCAGAGACACTTCGGCAGTGAGGAAGTGCTGATGCCCCCAGGCGGGAGAGGAGGGGAGAGGTGAGGAGGGGAGAAAGAGAAAGCGAGGAGAGGAGGGGAGAAAGAGAAAGCGAGGAGAGGAGGATAAAGGGTGGGAAAGGAGGAGAGGGAGGGGAGGGAGGGGGCAGAGGCTCGGAATTAGAAGCCTTACTGGCCATGAGCAAATGCAGAGAGGAGCAGATGTGAGTTCCGCGGGAATTGGCCCACCGTACGCCAGCCATAACCAACCCAACAGTGGCAGAGACAGACCGCACGGGTTCTCTCCACTTTTCTCAGCCCACACACTCCCCACAGCCCAGGAAGGTCCAGGTCAGCACAGCTAGGCAAGTCAACACAGAGCAAGTGTACTTACAGGCACCCGAGAGGCCAGGCCTGGGCCTTGAACCAAAGAGAGGATAACAGGCCTTTTGTTAAGTACCATCTCTGTGCTGGAGCTCTTCCCAGGACTATGAGAGAGAAACCTTAGGCTTGGACCTGGTAAAACACTCACCAAAGCCCCTACAGCTGGTCAGTAGCCCAGGCAGAATGTGAACCCGGGTAGGTCTGTCTCCAGAGTCTGAGATCTTGCAGTCAGGAGGGGGTTCCTGGTAGGGACAGGGGACCCTCCCTGTTCCTGGACGTCCAAACCTACCCAGCAGTGTCCAGACACCCGGCAAATTCAGGAAACTTCTAATACCATTTGTTCCCAGTTGTCTGAAATCTGGCTTCATTTTTCTAAATTCAGCACTCACCCTCAGTTTCCTCCAAGACTAATTCCACTGCAGACCGGATGTCGCTGGAAGTGACTTGTTCACATCCTCCCAGGCTGGGGGGGTTTAGTCCCACCTCTGTGCCGAGCCGCACAGAACCCATGGACAGAGCAGGCCTCCGGGAGCCAATTCTTCCACTTGAACCAGGTCTTTTCATCAGTGATTTGTGATTGATTTGAAGAGCAGAAGTTGGGGATAGATATTTAATTTGGGTTCACTGATTACATTTGTTATATAAATGGACCCAAGTAGAAGCTGGGGCTTGAGACAATGAAATAGAAATGAACTAGACAGAATTTTCAAGAACTTTGAAGATTTGGTCATAGATTTTTCTGGGGTTGGCCCTCACGTTAGTTGC